GATGTTCCTAGCAGTTCATGCTGGTAAGAACTGCATCATTGAACATTAAATAGATTTCTGAAATCAATTGATTGGGTTGTTTGTGAAGTTGATAATTTGATTGAAGAGAGAAGCTAGGTAGAATGTTTGACAGAGCTGCCAACTGTTTCCTGTCCAACACAAGTCGGTGAAGGGTGACTAACAATGATGGTTCTCCTCTCCATCTGTTCTCTGGCTGCAGATTTTCAAACAGAATTGACGTAAGTAATGGAACCCTTGACAACCTGGATAACTTCACACCTTTGGATGGTTATTTGTGTATTGGAGCATTATCCTGGTTTGTAAAAATAAGTCTGCGATGCAAGGAGATGTTCATAGCATTATCCTACTAACATTAACATCATATTTAATTTATTGGGAGTTGTACGATTGACAGCCTGTCCTATAGAAATAACAGTAATATTCCAGCCAGGCTGTCATGCCTATCTAACCTGACTCGGGATACTCCAGGTTGTAATGTCTATCTAACCTGACTCGGGATACTCCAGGTTGCTGGCCTTGTGTTTGAGTTGGACCTATTCTTGAGATATTTCTGATGGGACAGTGCCCAGGACTCAGCTGATGGGACAGTGCCCAGGACTCAGCTGATGGGACAGTGCCCAGGACTCAGCTGATGGGACAGTGCTCAGGACTCTGCTGATGATGGCAGGACTCAGTTGATTGTGACGGTATGTATAGTGTACTGTGTAGTAAGCATACGCTAAGGAACTACCAAGTGCTTATTTCAGGAGTTACTCAACAGATGGGAAAACATAAGAAATATCAATTGAGTTGTAGTCAATATGGCTTGAAATATCTTGCCCAATTCATGTCAGAAAAAATCATGGTTTTGTAACAAGAAAATGGCCAGACCAAGATTGAAACCTAGAGCCTTCCAAACTCTAGACTGATGCTTTGCCAATTAGCTGCCTGTTTGCCGGCAAACATCCCACTCAATTTCTGCTACATTCCTCCCTCCTTTTTTGAAGTTTTTGTCCCAGAAGATAATATTATTTACAACCCAAGTTTAGGTACCCCCTTGCCAAGTGTACACCTAAATGCTTGAAACAAAGGTTGGTCACAGGGACCACTGAAATAGGACACAGGAAAATATACAGCCAGCTGACTGGGAGTTGAACCTGAAACCTTCTGAACCCTGGATGCATGGTTGCTGTACAAATTGAGCTACCTGGTCGCTCCAATTTTGTTACAGTATTATACCTCTCTAGAATGTTAACAAATAACTGAAAAGACAAACTGGAATACATATAATGCTCAGAATGGGTATTACCTGAGAGAGCTAAGAAAGGGTTTGAGTATTGTTTGACAGATGAATTTTACGCATTGTATTAATTATGTCATAAGGACAAAGGTTCTATTGTTCCAGAGAATATCTCTTTACAAGAATTATCATTGTCCACATATCAAAAGATAGCCTTATCAGAATGTATACCTCACCTGAAACAACAAACATGTATCTTAAAAGATTTAATTATGAAGAGGCCAATATATTGCTTGATTCTGTTCTAAAGTGAAACGGTGTAAGGGTTTAAATATCACAAGTGGGTATGACTACATGTAGGTACATAGATAAGACAGCTCCAACCTTCAGGTATATAGTGTACACCTGTACGACACATGTTTGGATATTAGCTCACTAAATATGTCTTACCTGGCCAAATTGTCATATTATATTACAGATAATATGGAATGTACGATCATACCTGAAATAGTGAGATTATACATGTTTTGACCATTGTTTTACAGATAGGTCCAGACATCTAGTAGATAGTGCTAATTAGGACAGATGACACCAAATAGGGACGGGTGACATTAATTAATAGGACAAGTGGCACTATTTGGGACAGGCGACATATCCAGGGAATCAAGGGATACAGGTGAGTCTATTTTAAATATTTTCATCGAATGACACAGATCGTCATTTGAATTGCTTGATAAAATACTAGATTACAGTTTGAGGTGTCTGCGTATGGCCGTTTGTCCACGGTGCCTATGTAGGGTATCCGCAAGCCATCCCTCACTGCCCACTTTCAGCTCCTCTCTGTGTTTGGTTTGGGTACAAAGGATTGATCCCTAAACAAATTTTAGTATTTCTTATTATTGTATAGTGGATATGTTGTATGTATTTCACGTTTGAATCAATATCCACACTAGGATTGATTTCCCCGTGCTCCACACATAGTGGTATTGTATTGGTGATATGCAGCTCTAGAACTAAGTACAAAGATTCTGTATTGACACACAGGTTAATGCATATTGCTGTAGACAAAAACTTGTATAGATTGTAACAATTTTATTTGAGATGTACTGTTTAACAAGCTTTCAATTATCGATGTAACAATTTTTACTTGAAACAATGATCATGGCAGGTTTTTGGACCTCTACGATTGTAAACATTCTACAACAAACACTGATACGCTGTAATACCTTTGTTTTATTGCTATCCATCCCATATATGCTTCATTCTTATACTTGTATTCAAGTTCAGGGAAAAGGTTTGAAATAGTTACACAAACACTATTCAGCTAGAAATAGCTACATTAACACTGTTTCTAGTAATAATATGAACGCACAATTAGAAATAGTTGTAACATGTAGTAACACTACTGCTAGAGAAAGTTACAGTAACACAATGCTAGAAACAGTTACAGTAGCAATACTGTTCAAAAAAGTTACAATAACACCATCGCTAAAAATAATTACAGTAACAATACCGTTAGAAATAGCTACAGTAACACCACTACTAGAAATAGTTACAGTAACACCATTACTAGAAATAGTTACAGTAAATAGTTACAGTAACACTGTTACTATAAATAGTTACAGTAACACCACTACTAGAAATAGTTACAGTAATAATACCCTAGAAATAGTTACAGTAATAATACCCTAGAAATAGTTACAGTAACACCACTACTAGTAACATGATTACACCACTACTACGTACAGATACCGTTAGATACAGTAACAATGTTACTATAAATAGTTACAGTAACACTGTTACTAGAAATAGTTACAGAAACACCACTACTAGAAATAGCTACAGTACTTACACCACTACTATGTACAGATACCGGTAGATACAGTAACACTGTTACTATAAATAGTTACAGTAACACTGTTACTATAAATAGTTACAGTAACACCACTACTAGAAATAGTTACATTAACACCACTACTAGAAATAGTTACAGAAACACCACTACTAGAAATAGTTACAGTAACATGATTACACCACTACTACAGATACCTGTAGATACAGTAACACTGTAACAAGAAAAATCTGGCAATCCTAAAATGACCATAGCAGTTAATAGGATGTAAAACACAAACAAACCAAAAGTTACTAGAAATAGAGATTCCCAGACCTCTATCCTGATCCCATAGTGGGTTTTATAATGGTATTAAAACAGAAAACAGCAGTCACTGATCCTATAGTGGGTTTTATAATGATATGAAAACAGAAAACAGCAGACACTGATCCCATAGTGGGTTCTATAATGGTATTGAAACAGAAAACAGCAGTCACTGATCCCATAGTGGGTTTTATAATGGTATTAAAACAGAAAACAGCAGTCACTGATCCTATAGTGGGTTTTATAATGATATGAAAACAGAAAACAGCAGACACTGATCCCATAGTGGTTTTTATAATGATATTAAAACAGAAAACAGCAGTCACTGATCCCATAGTGGGTTCTATAATGGTATTTAAACAGAAAACAGCAGTCACTGATCCCATAGTGGGTTCTATAATGGTATTGAAACAGAAAACAGCAGACACTGATCCCATAGTGGGTTTTATAATGATATTAAAACAGAAAACAGCAGACACTGATCCCATAGTGGGTTTTATAATGATATTAAAACAGAAAACAGCAGACACTGATCCCATAGTGGGTTTTATAATGATATTAAAACAGAAAACAGCAGACACTGATCCCATAGTGGGTTTTATAATGATATTAAAACAGAAAACAGCAGACACTGATCCCATAGTGGGTTTTATAATGATATTAAAACAGAAAACAGCAGACACTGATCCCATAGTGGGTTTTATAATGATATTAAAACAGAAAACAGCAGACACTGATCCCATAGTGGGTTTTATAATGATATTAAAACAGAAAACAGCAGACACTGATCCCATAGTGGGTTTTATAATGATATTAAAACAGAAAACAGCAGACACTGATCCCATAGTGGGTTTTATAATGATATTAAAACAGAAAACAGCAGACACTGATCCCATAGTGGGTTTTATAATGATATTAAAACAGAAAACAGCAGACACTGATCCCATAGTGGGTTTTATAATGATATTAAAACAGAAAACAGCAGACACTGATCCCATAGTGGGTTTTATAATGATATTAAAACAGAAAACAGCAGACACTGATCCCATAGTGGGTTTTATAATGATATTAAAACAGAAAACAGCAGACACTGATCCCATAGTGGGTTTTATAATGATATTAAAACAGAAAACAGCAGACACTGATCCCATAGTGGGTTTTATAATGATATTAAAACAGAAAACAGCAGACACTGATCCCATAGTGGGTTTTATAATGATATTAAAACAGAAAACAGCAGACACTGATCCCATAGTGGGTTTTATAATGATATTAAAACAGAAAACAGCAGACACTGATCCCATAGTGGGTTTTATAATGATATTAAAACAGAAAACAGCAGACACTGATCCCATAGTGGGTTTTATAATGATATTAAAACAGAAAACAGCAGACACTGATCCCATAGTGGGTTTTATAATGATATTAAAACAGAAAACAGCAGACACTGATCCCATAGTGGGTTTTATAATGATATTAAAACAGAAAACAGCAGACACTGATCCCATAGTGGGTTTTATAATGATATTAAAACAGAAAACAGCAGACACTGATCCCATAGTGGGTTTTATAATGATATTAAAACAGAAAACAGCAGACACTGATCCCATAGTGGGTTTTATAATGATATTAAAACAGAAAACAGCAGACACTGATCCCATAGTGGGTTTTATAATGATATTAAAACAGAAAACAGCAGACACTGATCCCATAGTGGGTTTTATAATGATATTAAAACAGAAAACAGCAGACACTGATCCCATAGTGGGTTTTATAATGATATTAAAACAGAAAACAGCAGACACTGATCCCATAGTGGGTTTTATAATGATATTAAAACAGAAAACAGCAGACACTGATCCCATAGTGGGTTTTATAATGATATTAAAACAGAAAACAGCAGACACTGATCCCATAGTGGGTTTTATAATGATATTAAAACAGAAAACAGCAGACACTGATCCCATAGTGGGTTTTATAATGATATTAAAACAGAAAACAGCAGACACTGATCCCATAGTGGGTTTTATAATGATATTAAAACAGAAAACAGCAGACACTGATCCCATAGTGGGTTTTATAATGATATTAAAACAGAAAACAGCAGACACTGATCCCATAGTGGGTTTTATAATGGTATTAAAACAGAAAACAGCAGACACTGATCCCATAGTGGGTTTTATAATGATATTAAAACAGAAAACAGCAGACACTGATCCCATAGTGGGTTTTATAATGGTATTAAAACAGAAAACAGCAGACACTGATCCCATAGGTTTTTTTTATAATGGTATTAAAACAGAAAACAGCAGACCCTGATCCCATATTGGGTTTTATAATGGTATTAAAACAGAAAACAGTAGACACTGATCCCATAGTGGGTTTTATAATGATATTGAAACGAAAACAGCAGACACTGATCCCATAGTGGGTTTTATAATGATATTAAAACAGAAAACAGCAGACACTGAGACAAATTTCTTGCAGTATGTATTGATTAGTTAAGTCAGTCATCCATGGCTAAAATAAACTAGAGAGATCTCCACATTGTAGTGTGCAGACAATAACACTGCAACAAATTGTTAAGGTTTACGTTATTTATGTTCCTTGTGTCAAGGGAACAATCTGAAAACTGTTCTGTAAGATATATCAAAACATTTCGGGCCCCAGACATCATAGGGTGTTTAAATATGCATCTACAGAACTGTCAGTTTAGCAATTCAGTTGAAAAAGTTGTTTAACAGAGTTTTATAGCATAATTATTATTTAAGGGAATAAATCAAATCTCTGTCTTTAAAAGTTGATAGTAGATTCCCAGATTTCACAAAAAATGTGATAAATCTAGACCTCTAGATGTAATAGGGAAACATATCTTATTTAAATCCCCAGAATATTAATGAGGAATAGTGTTAAATAGAGACCGGGGATATCACAGAGGACATTGGGTTGAATTATCTGTTAATTCTAGGTATCCAGATATAACAGGAGAAAATATTTTAAATCTAAATCTTCAGATATAACAGGGGTAAATGTGTTAATTCTAGAACTCCAGATATCACAGAGAAAAATGTGTTAATTCTAGAACTCCAGATATCACAGAGAAAAATGTGTTAAATCTAAATCTCCAGATATCACAGGGGTAAATGTGTTAATTCTAGATCTCCAGATATAACAGGGGTAAATGTGTTAATTCTAGATCTCCAGATATAACAGGGGAAAATGTGTTAATTCTAGATCTCCAGATATAACAGGGGTAAATGTGTTAATTCTAGATCTCCAGATATAACAGGGGTAAATTTGTTAAATCTAGATCTCCAGATATCACAAAGAAAAATGTGTTAATTCTAGATCTCCAGATATAACAGGGGAAAATGTGTTTATTCTAAATCTCCAGATATTACAGAGGAACTAAACTAAAGACAAAATAAAGATATCACAGTGGATATGATTATCTACGGTAAACCTCCGGTCAGTTCGAACAAAATTAAATAAATAATGTTTAACCTGTTCGAATTATATTA